AGCTTTCTTTATTCCATTGGAGGAGGCAAACTAGACACACATGCTGAGATTTGTTCTAGATCTGGGCAGACCTCAAAGCGGTGAGGCTAAGTCTTGATACACATAGTTGTCGTTAGGCAAAGAGCCAGGCAGTGAGGTATAGCCACAGCAATGAGGGGGTAAGAGCAACAATACTATTCATTGCAAGGCTTCATGACTGGAACATGGTCATGCAGGGGCTTGCCCAAGCTCAGGGACTGCCTGGGGGTGGCTTGAGCCAATTCTGTAATCCACAGGATGAGTGCAAAGGATTGCTGGTATGCCAAGCTGAAGGCACAGATTGCTTGCTGGGCCTTAGCTCTGAAAAACAAGATGTCTCCCAATAGTAAAAAGAGAGGGGTGATCTTGACATGGGAATCCTGATAAGTTAAAGATGTGTACAAGACAATAGGCAATTGGAGATGTAAGAATGAAGGTCAAGAAAGAGGTTAGGGCTGGATAAACTGATCTTAAAATCATCTACATATAGGAGACAATTGAATCCAAGTGAAATAATATAGAGGAAAATAAGGAGAGGGCCCAGGATAGATCCTTGGCATGCTTTGACCTAAAGCACCTACGTGGTGTAGTGGATAGAGCATTGGACTTGGAATCAAGAATATCTGAGTTCAAATTCTGCCTCAGACGCTGACTAAGCTGTGTGACTGACCATATTTTCTTATCTGTAAAATGGATACAATAATAGCATCTACCACAAAAGGATTGTTGTAATGATTAAATGAGAAAACATATGTAAAGAACTTTGTAAACCTTAAAACACTACATAACTGTAAACTGTTGTGATTATTAGAATTAAACAATACTTCAGGTATTATTTGAGGGGCTATAATACAGTAGAATTATAGATAACAATTACTTCAGATGAAGACAAATTGTGAACTACATCAGTGGAGAGAACATTCATGTCAATGAGATCATGGAATCATTGAAATACTAATATAGTGAAAGAAGAGAGGCTCATAAGTAAATAATCGTAAGATCAATGGCATAACACTGTCAATATTTTGAGCTTAATGGGGCTGTATTTTTTTAAACTAAGAGTAGTAATTATGACCTATTCTACAACATAATTTTAAGGCACATTTCAAACAATATTTAATAAAATGTATATTAAAAAATTAAATATGTAATAACATTACAGATCTTTCATTTACATTAAAGTCCACCATTTCCTCCTTTGGTTCTACTGTGTATTTGTGTCTTTGCATCATGTATTTTCTCAAAGAAAATGCAAAGTTCTCATAAATACACCATAGGGAGTGGTTCTAATTGTATAAAATTATGTCAGTTCTTTAAAAGATTGTTTAGATCTTTTTATGAATATTGTCATTTTGAGGCACTCTATTAAAACCAGTTTGGAGTGGGAAAAGAAGGAGGCCCAGAGCCATTTATCTGAGCTCTTGCTATTTGTTTTCCTTGTGGAGTTTTTTCCCATTTTCATTCCGAATGCATTGCATACTTCTAGGATTGCATATTAATCTCTTTTAAGCTTTACACAATGGAATGAAATTTTAAATCACTCTTCAATCTTTGCCAAACTGCGTTTTATAAGGAATCTTCTTGGGACCATGCATGTGGACATATTTCTGACGGAAACAATGTTCGCTTAGGTGATTTACAATCTTAGTCTTTTTTAGTTCCATTTATTGTCTTAGAAGCATTTCTTTTTATCTTAACTTTCATCACATTTTATAAATGTTGCCACAAATAGCCTTCCAGTTAGATTTGAGGTTTTTTTCTTTGTTTATTCTGATTAAATTGAAATTACCATCTGTCCCTGTTGTAGAAAATAACTTGGCTTTTCTTGATTCTCTTTTAATTTTGCCCATATTAATTTCAGATACTATGCATAAAACCTAACATAATTACACCAATTCTCATTTACATGGTGCTTAAGGTTACTTACATCCCAGTGGTCCTGTAATATTTGTTGTTCAGTCATTTTTCAGTCATGTTCAACTTTTTGTGACCTCATTTTGGGTTTTCTTAGCAAGATACTGGAGAGGTTTGCTGTTTCCTTCTCCAGCTCATTTTACAAATGAGGAAACTAAGGTAAAATGGGTTAAGTGACTTGTCCAGGGTCACATATAATTAAGTGTCTGAGTCCAGATTTGACCTCAGGAAGAGCAGTCTTTCTGACTCCAGGCCCAGCACTTTATCCACCACACTACCTAGACGCCCTGCCTGTAATACAGGTACTGTACGTATTATTATTGATATTTGGCATATCAGAAAACTGAGGCTCAGCAGGTCAACTGGCTTGTCTAGGGTTATACACTTAGTGAATTTTGGAATCAGAACCTTTAGCCTTGAACTTTTAATTCTAAGTTCACTATTCTTTCCATTATACCATTCTGTCTCTCTCCAAGGAGAAATAATTAGGATTAGCCTAAAGGCAAAATCTACTTTGAAATAGAATACAAATATGAAGTTCTATCTCTTTCAAATATATACACATATACACACATAATATACATGTATGTATATGCACACACATGCATAGACATGTGTATGTGTATGTATGTATGTATGTGTATATGTGTATGTGTATGTATTTATTTATGTACCTTAACCCTTAGCAAGTTAAAAAAGTACTGGCAAAAAAAAAGATTCTCGGTACTTGCTTCAGTGAACAAATGACTATTGTAATAAGCACATTCACAATTTACATATACATGGATGTTCTTAGTATTTAAACACTTTTATCTAATTTTATTCTTTATTTGCTTAGCAAACTTTTTTTTGGAGGCAATTGGAGATAACTGACTTGCCCAGGGTTACATAGCTAGTAAGTATCTGAGGAGCAAGCTTGAAGGAGAACTTCAGCCTGACCCATTCTGTCAATTCTGAATTTAGAAGAGGACGACTTAATGAAGTTTTATTATATTGTACTTTATTGAGAAATTTTATAGATACACCTTCCCCTACCCCTCTACAAATGACTATATATGGAAATATTTTGATTGGGGCCTGTGATTTCATTGATGTCAGAGGTTTCTTGTGGAGAAACTCCTACTACCAATGATTTAGCTATTCTTTTGTAATCTAGGGAATTACCTGGGCCTACTGGGAAGAGGATGGCTAGTAAAGTGGATAGAGTTCCAGGCCTAAAAGACCTGAGTTCAAATGTGGCCTCAGATACTTACTAGCTGTGTGACCCTGGGTAAGTCACTTCACCCTGTTTGCCTCAGTTTCCTCATCTATAAAATGGCAAACCACTCTAGTATCTTTGCCAAGAAAACCCTAAATGGGGTCACAAAGAGTGAGAAACAATTGAACAACAACAACAACTGAGAAATTAAATGTTTTGCTATGGTCATATAGCCAGTATATATGAGAGGCAAGACTTTAACCTGGGTCTATCTGATTCTAAAACTGGCTTTCCTATACTATTTTGTCTCTTATCAAGGAAATGAGACCTTATTCACTTAGAATGGATAGGAACTACCTTCGGTTAGCCAAAACTTTGGTGGTGAATGGTTGCACATATTTAAATTATTACAGTAATTGATCCAATCACAACTCTTCTGGGCCACAGGCTGTTCTCAGGACATGACATCATAAACACTATCTCCTTTTGTTTCCCCCAGTAAAAGGAGCTGTACAGACTTTATGAGGAGCAAGAGAATAGTATGTAGGATGTGATGCTAATGTAATGGGATTGATTTTTTTAAACAAGCATAGCAAAACTCTTTTATTCAGATAAGTGTTACCCATAAAAGTTGTAACCCTGGGAGGCCGTATACTTATTCCAAAAATGATGTCATTTTTTGAAATATATTTTAGAACTGCCTTCGTAACTAGTTTAGGTCACCTATACATGCACACAGGCACTCACTCACATTAGTTTAAGATCAAACTTCATATTCTCATTAGCTTGCCAGTCAGCTCCACCCAGATACTGATGGAGAGCATTATCATAAGTAAAGTGAATCTGTATTTTCAAAGGTTATGTCAGATGATTGCAAATTCTGGTCATTCCTCTCATGCAGGACAGGCTATGATAATAACAATAATGATAATAATAATAATAATACTAACAAATTTAACAACATCTGTTATGTGCCAGGCACTATACTAAATACTTTACAAATATTACCTCATTTGATCTTCACAACAACTCAGAGAGGTAGGTGCTATTTCTCTCCTCATTTGTAAAGTGAGAAGAGGGAGGCAGGCAGAGGTTAAATGACTTGCAAGGGTCACACAGTTAGTAAATGCCCAAGGCTGGGATTTGAACCCAATAGGGTATTACTGACTTAAGGTCCAATGCTCTATTAACTGTGCCACCTAGCTGCTTCATTAATGATAATGATAATGAAAAAGTACTAATGTACTTTCCCTTTAATATTTGTGGCTGAGTTGAGCTTGCTCGGTTATAAGAGAAATTGTTATTCTGAGAGATAGTTGCTGAGGGTTGAGGATACATTTTGAGACGAGGTTGCTAAGCTTTGAATGTGAAAAGCTGTGACTTATTAGAAAGACAAGGATCCCAGAACAATGGTATGGTTGTGGGGCAAATATAATTTATTTTATTATGGACAAAAAGATGAGAATTTTATTATTACTCATAAGCTAAAGTCATTCACAGTGATGATTCTTATTCTAAAACCAGAATGATAAGAAAAGAGCAAAAGATGAAAGGACAGATTTCAGAACTGCATCAACTGAGATTGAAGCTAGATATAATACACACTAGAATTGTTGATGAGTAGGTCGATATGAGTAGAGGAAAAGATTTAAATGTCCTTCTCCCCAATAATGTTGAACAGCTTGCCCCAGACAAGGATTCTAACTTCTTGCCTGAGGAATTAATTGCTCCTTCTCCCTCAAAGTCTATCCTCAAAGAGATGTATTCAATTGTCCTTCTACACCTAGACCTTTGGGGGTATATCATCTAACTGTAACACCCAATTACTTCACATTGTATGTATTTTCCCCTTCATCTTCATTAGGTACCAAAGGAACAGAAAACTCGGATGAAAAAACTTGTCTACCAAAAGAGTCCAGGACCAAATGTCTAGATGTCATGAAGTTCAGGTGAGAATTTAAAAAAGGGATGCTGCCATGTTTTGTCTGTGTTTCTTTCTTTCATGAGTAACCTCGGGTCAGATCTGGCAGTGTCTAAACAATTGGGAAGTCATGGCTTCTTGGATATAGGAAAATCAGATGAGAAGAACCCAAGGCATACATCCGGAAAATATACCTGAGATACTGCATGGACAATGAAATTGCAGTGTGAGTTTATGGGGACCCTGGGCCTCATTGAAAGCACAGGGTAATTCTGGAGACATCAGAGAAAGTATTCAGTGACCTGAAAAAAGTGTACTTTTCCCCTAGTGATTGGCCAAGAAATGTCTGCTGTATCTTCAAGAAATTGTACTATGCCCCATTAGATTACACCTGGAAAATTTTAAACAGGCTAGGGTATCTCCATCTGTCATGTGGTGAGACTGCTTCCTTTACCCTCTTTTTCATTCTGATATTGAAGGGATGCTTGATAGTCAACCTTTGCAAATTGCTTCTAGGCACAGCCATTCCTTTGGAAAAGATGAAACTGAGAACTCAGATCCTAATGAGGGTGGCTTTAACCACTGGGGAGTTGAGATTTCAGACCTTCCTAGAACCAGCAGGCTGACAGCTGCTTAAGAATTTTAATGTCAGGGGCAGCTAGGTGGTGCAGTAGATAGAGCATTGGCCCTGGAGTCTGGAGAACCTGAGTTCTAAATCTAGTCTCAGACCCGACACTTGACACTTATAGCTGTGTGACCTTGGGCAAGTCACTTAACCCCAACTGCCTTGCCAAAAATAAATAAATAAAAAAGAATTTTAATGTCATATATTTTGTTTTTTATTTTATTCAATAAACATAGTCTAATCTATTATGTGCATGTATAGTCCTTCAGGTCATTCAAAATTGAGTAGGAAATGGGAATCTTAAAAGCTATAGGGGTTGAGCTATCTTTATAAATATTGTCTTTTATAATCTTCAAATTTTCTACCATTGATCAAACGAGAAAAAATAGCACCTGAGATGATTTCTAAGGCACTTGGGACATAAGAACTGAGGAGAATCCAGGCTAGTCAGTTCCTAGTTATAGGCAGTGCCCATCTGTTTATGCATGAGGTACTGAAAAGGACCTGGGAGCTGGAGCAGCTTGAGCTCCGCCTGCCACCTAGTGTCTAATGATGTGATTGTATTCTGCGCAGTTATAACTGGCTTTCTTCTCTCAGTGCCCAAGTAAGACAGGCACTGCTATGCTTTCCAATTAATTTCGCTAAGGCTTTTTTTGAACAAAGCTAACTCTTTTTTAAAAATAGACTTTAATCATTGCCCAGCCTTCTCAGACTTGACTTTTCCCTTTCAATAGCCTGGAGGCAGTATGGTACGGTGAAAAGAACATTGGCTCTAGAGTCAGAAGATATGGGTTTAAATCCTACCTCTGACCCTGTTTGACCTTGGGCAAGTCACTTAACTTTCCATGGGACTGAGTTTCCTCAACTGTAAAATGAGGGACTAGACTAGATGGCTTCAGAGGTTCTTCCTGGTTCTAAGTGCATGATTCCTGTGAATTAGCTGGAGCAAATATTACTATTTGCATTTTACTCATGAGGAAATGAGAGATGTTAAGTGACTTCCCTGTGGTCACACAACTAGTAAGTATTGGAGGCAGGGTTTCAAACCAAGTCTCCTGATTGCATGTCTAGAGCTTTTCATGGAGTGGTTCAAAGGCCAATGATGTCGTAGTTGCCACAAGCAAAGCAGATGATTACTACTAGATTTTCCTCTTATCTTTGAGGCCCTTCATCATATGCAGCTGCCTTTGTTCCAACCTCTTGCCTGTGATGTAGACTCTTATCTCTCTGAGGCCTCTTGTTTGGTCAGACCAGTAGTCACCTGCCTTCCCCTTACTTGTGCTTCTGATGATCTCTTCTACCCGTTCCCTTAATCTTCTTTAGTTCAGAACACCTTCTCAGGTCCCATATTCAAGACACTGATTTGTGTACTGTCTTTCTGCTGACATCTCTATTGTCAAAATTGAATTAAGATTCTTCATCAGCCAATAGCTGGTGGCATGGGGGTAGGAGTAGAGGAAAGAATCTGCTGCCCTCTACTGTCACAAGTGAAACCTGAGGGTCATTCTTAATTTTGTCAGTTCCAGTTCCCTTCCTGGATTATACCATATTCTTACCAAGGGCATATTTTCCTAGAATAAGTGATTCCAGCCTCACTAAATAGCTATAAAAACTCTACAATTAATCAACTGTAAACAGAATTAAAACATCAGAGCCTTTGATGGTCAGTAGCATGTACCTGTACTATTCTTCATATTTGTATCCATAGCATGGAGCACAGTGTTTCAAATGTGATATGTACTTAAATAAAAATTGGTTGAAATGGCTGTTGAAAAGAACTAGAGGTCTGGCCTCAGTCCCATAAGTCACAGCCTTTCTGAGCATCAGCTTCTTCCCATTGTAAAAGGAGGAAGTTGGACTAGATGTTGTATGAGCTCTGTTTCTCCATGAATGAAAAAGTATTTATGAAGTCTGTACTATGTGCTAGGCACTGAGGATACAAATAGGAAGGAAATGCCATTCCTGCTCTCAAGGAGCTCCAGTTCTCTTTGGGAAAAGCAATGCATTTAGGAGGCTTCAGCCTATGATGCAGTTAGTTTCATGGACCTTAGGGTGCATCAGCAAAGCAGATGGTAATGCATCTTCCTTAATGCCATTTCCAAAGATAAAACCATATCCATTTTGTATGGAAGTACCAGTGTGTGTGTGTGTGTGTGTGTGTGTGTGTGTGTGTGTGTGTGTGTTGTGTGTGTGTGTGTGTGTGGTGGGGTGGGATTTGGGGAGTAGGAGTGGTAGGCAGGGAACAATGATGGTGGAGTTAAATCTGAAGAGTACAGTTGGTGGGAAATGGAGAGTTGTCTGGGCTTCTGAGCCCTCTTTAAATGGAGCCTTTGAGAGGAATTTTGTGCCCCACCCTTCAGTCTCCAAGTAGATAGGCAGGGATTATTGAGGGTCCTAACGAGGTGTCAGTACCAAAGCTGATTCAGTCTCTGTGATGATGAGTTTGAGGATGAGTTTCCTGGTGATGAGCTTTTCCAGGGCAGGAGAGGTTGATAACAATTGGTGGAGTAGAATCCAAGGAGTACAGATGATGGGAAATGACGAAGGGAGTGAAGCTAGACTTTTCCAAGTCTAACTTTGATTATAGTACATAGATTTTTAAAATATATATTTATATATAGTTACATATGTATATAACTATATACATATATTTAAATTCTAAATTTGGAAAACACCAAATAAAACAAGCATTTCAATATATGTATAGCAGAGCAGAAAAAGAACATAGTACATGAAACTGAAAGTTTCCACCATGTATGGTTTGCTCTTCTCTTTACTTTTTTTTTTTGCAAGGCAATTGGGCTTAAGTGACTTGTCCAGGATCACATAGCTAGTAAGTGTCAAGTGTTTGGTCTTCTAATCTAAAGGATTACGTACTGCTCAGATTCAGTTTAGGTTCGGATCTCAAGATAGAATGACACGTACTCAGGATAAACTTAACAAATAATCACATTTATTTACAATGATTAATAATGATTAAAAACCACCCAAGCAATAAAGATAAGACTAACATTCAATGCAATAAGCAATAATCAAAATAAAGGAAAGAAGGAATAAGAAAAGAAAGGATACACAGTCACTGACCAGGCGAGCCCAAATACCTAATAGACCGGGGTGACTGGAGAACGACCAAAAGGTCTGGTCAGGGAGACAACGGGAGCGACCTACCCCGGAACACAACGGAAGCCTTGCACGCGGCCCGTTTCCGACAAAGAATCAGCATCCCTATCTTTGCAACCAAAGTCTCCAAAATCTCCTTTTCCAATGACCCTTTTTATATCCCTGTAAACCAGGGAAAAAGAATCTTGATATTATGTTTTGTGTACGTCTCCTTGGTGAGTACTCAGATCCAGGGTAGGTACACATTCTAACAATGGTTGGAGCTTGATCAGAGTTCTAACTACCTGTTTATTGTGTAATTGTCCAAAGATTGATCAATTCCTTGGACAATTACATGCTTTTCTCAAGAAAAATGTTCTTTGAGATACATTGTTTTCCCAGGTAACATTGTTTAGTTGTTACTTAATGTTCTAATCTCCTTGATCCTGGCCACGCTTTGATGACTCCATTTTATCTTTATGTCAGGTCATGAGGCAGTTACACTGTTAGGTCCTAAGACTGTTACACAGGGGGCTGGGGAGGATCCATCCTCCTCAGTTTCCCTTACAGGTCTGAGACTGAATTTGAACTCAGGTCCTCCTGACTCCAGTGCCGGTGCTCTATCCACTGCCTCACCTAGCTGTCCCTGGTCTTCTCGTTAAAACAAAGAACAAATTTAACAAGTGGCTTTCAAGCTCTCCTACTTGTCTGTGATTCTTTCTAGATTTTTGTTCTCATTCTGTACATTTAAAAAAAGGCTTCAATGGCCCTCTTCTATTTCCTTTTTTTTTTCTATTTGAGGGAGGCAACCCTATCCCAAGCTTCTCTCTTGTGACAAAAATGTACAGCTAAGCAAAACATTCACTTTGGATGTTTAAATCTTTCGAAGTTGCTTATCTTTACAATTTATTGTTATTATGTAAATTGTTCTCTTGGACCTTCTCACATTATACTACACCAGGTAATATATGTCTTCTCAAGTTTCTCTGAAGCCATCCCTTTTATTATTTCTTATGGTACAATAACATTCCATTAAATTCATATTACCTAATTTGTTTAGCCATTTCCCAATTGATGAGTGCCCCCTTTTAGTTTCTAATTCTTTGTTATAATAAGAGAGTTGCTATAAATATTTTTTATACATTTAGGTCTTTTTTCTCTTCTATCTCTTTCGGGCATAGGCTTACTAGTAGTACTATGAGCACCGACCTGCTCAAAGTTGGTTCAAAGAACAAGGTTGATGAATGGAGGGAAAAATTTGCCACATCTAAGGAGCCCACAGTTAGTCACAGGGTATCTGTAAG